TGAGATAAATCTTTTTGGGTGGCAGGGGAGGGAGGGAGGGGAGAATGAGCAAAGGCCTAGAGGCCAGAGAGAGCTAGTGTGTCTTAGAAACTATTTGTACTAGGAAAGTTTCCAGTAGAGTATGGAAGGACATGAAATCTTGCTGCATAGGTGGGCAGTACCCGCTGCACTCTGTGATAGAATGTGAGCTTTATCTTATTGATTATTGAGGCATTTTATGCAGAGGAGTCATGTGCTTAGATTTTCCTATTGGAACAGTGTTTCTAGGTAGTGTGGAAGAGAAGTTTGAGGGGTGGGTTTGGAAATGAGAGTGACACCAGAGTCAGGGACTCGGATAAGGAAACTGTTGGCACACTCTGTGTATGAAATGCCAAGAACTTGTAATGTTCTGAAGTAAACATAGATTTGGAGTCATATCATGGATCTGTCTCTTCTTAGCTTTGTGGACTTTGTGACTTAGCTTCTCTGAGCCTCTCTTCTCATCTGCAAGTTTGTGGATTCAATATCTGCCTCTTAGGACTGTACGTGGAATAAATGAAATAACATATGGACAGAGTTTAGTACAATACCTGGCACATCATATGTACTTTAAAAATAGTTCTTATGATTTTTTTTTTGGTTATTAGTTATCAACGTGGAGATTGGCCTCGGAATAAAGAGGAAGATTGGTAGAGAAGTTTAGGAGGTAGAATTGCCAGGCAGTAACTGAGTGGATATTGAATGCATTAGTCAGTTTTGCATTGCTACTATGAAATGTGCAAGGCAGCTAACTTTTAAAGAGAGTAAGTTTGTTTAGTTCACAGTTGTGAAGTTTCAAAGTCCAAGATCAAGCAACTCTATTCTCTATTGTTTTGGCGACTGGTAATGATGACATTGGCATCATGGTGGAAGCATGTGTATGCAGGAACTTGTATCACAAACAGGACGTCTGAGAGAAGGTGGGGGGGTGTGATCCCATCTCGTAGTCCTTCCTAGGGCCCACCTCCAAGTGATCTAAGGACCTCCCGTTGGGCTCCAGCTTTCGAAGATTCTGTCACCTCCCAGTGGTGCTACCTTGGGGAGCAAGAGTTCAATTATGGACCTTTGTGGGACAAACAAACCAGTATCTCAAGCACGGCACTGAGGGTAGGGGAATTGGAGGAATTTCAGAAAATCCCCAGGTTTCTGGCTTGACCCAGAGTACACAAGGGAGGGGAAACGGGATAGGGTGAGTAGGTAAGCACTGGAAGTCAAGGAAATCATGTGGAGCTGGAATGCTGTAAGGGCCGTTGGCTGATGTGTAGATGCAGAGGTCAGAGTCGGTAGCTGAAGGCGAGGGGATGATGTGGTGACACAGGGAGACTCTCCTGAGGGAGGGTGAAAAGAACATTCCAGACAGAGTTGGGGGAAACACCAGAATTTAAGAGGCAGGATGACTAAAGGGAGCCCAAGAAGCAGTGCACGGAGAGGCATGAGCCAGAGCCAGGAGGGGAGAGTGGCTTGTTGCTGAACTTGGAGGACATTTCAAGAAGACAATGGTCCACCATGTCCGATGGTTCAAAAGGTGGGTACCCAAGTCGAGAGCGGGAAGATGCCCCTTGGCTTTGGTTGTTGTCAGAGCAGTGGGTGGAGTGTTCGGAAAGTGTAGGGTGTTCTGAAGGCAACCAGAAGAGAAAGAAGGAAAGGAGAGATACAGGGAGGCAATTAGAGCTCTACATTGGGACCAGAGAGGGTGGCGTCTCTTTATTTGATTTTGGATCTTGCCTGTATTTTGTTTTTAAGATGAGAAAGACTTGGATGTGTTTGTGGGATCGGGTTGAAGGATGGAGTCACCTAGGAGGAAGCAGGAGAGGGCGTGGAGAGTGACAAAATGGGTCTGAATTGGAGCAGTGCTTCCATCAGAGCTCCAGGGTGGATGGAGGTGGTGGTGTGTGTGGATTCCTGTCTTTAAATGCGGCTGGAGTGAGACTGAATTATGCAGACATGTAGCACCTGTGGAACAGTCATACTTTTTCCCTTCTGTTTGTCTTTCAGTTGAGGATCCACTCTGTAACTTCCACTCCCCAAACTTCCTAAGGGTCTCAGAGGTGGAAATGAGAGGTTCCGAGGATGCGGCAGCTGGAACAGTGTTACAGCGGCTGATCCAGGAGCAACTGCGGTATGGCACCCCGACCGAGAACATGAACTTGCTGGCCATTCAGCACCAGGCCACAGGGAGTGCAGGACCAGCCCACCCTCCAAATAGCTTTTCTTCCACGGAAAACCTCGCTCAAGAAGACCCACAAATGGTCTACCAGTCAGCACGCCAGGAGCCGCAGGGTCAAGAACACCAGGTGGACAACACGGTGATGGAGAAACAGGTCCGCTCCACTCAGCCTCAGCAGAACAACGAGGAGCTGCCCACGTACGAGGAGGCCAAAGCGCAGTCGCAGTTCTTCAGGGGGCAGCAGCAGCAGCAGCCGCCACAGCCGCAGCAGGGGGCTGTGGGCCACGCCTACTACATGGCCGGGGGCACCAGTCAGAAGGCCCGCACGGAGGGAAGGCCCACGGTGAACCGTGCCAACAGCGGCCAGGCCCATAAGGACGAGGCGCTGAAAGAACTGAAGCAGGGCCACGTCCGCTCGCTCAGTGAGAGGATCATGCAGCTGTCCCTGGAGAGGAACGGGGCCAAGCAGCACCTCCCTGGCTCAGGGAGTGCAAAGGGGTTCAAGGCAGGAGGGGGACCCTCCCCAGCCCCGCCTGCTGGCAAAGTGCTGGACCCGCGCGGTCCACCGCCCGAGTACCCCTTCAAGACCAAGCCCATGATGTCCCCGGTCAGCAAGAACCAGGACCACGGACTCTTCTACAGTGACCAGCACCCCGGGATGCTGCACGAGATGGTCAAGCCATACCCTGCGCCCCAGCCCGCGAGGACAGAAGTGGCCGTGCTGAGGTACCAGCCGCCCCCGGAGTACGGGGTGACCAGGTGATTATCCGGCCTAGAGCCTTCTCCCAGCTTTCCCATGTTCTGCTGTCCCGTGCACAGTGCTTGCTGTTTTCGGTGTTGGTCATCAGACTGTTTGTTTTTGTGCACTGCGTCTAATAAGGTGAGACAGAGTAGACGGCAACTGAGGGCAGTTGGGGGTTTAGGGAAGTAGGGGTGGGGCCTCCGTTGCTAGCCTGTGTTGGGAACTCTGCCCTGTGTGGCCTGGCGAAGTCACAATTTCCCTGGCTGGCTTTGTGGAGAGTGTCCAGTCTCAGGGAACGTGACGTGACCAAACGGCTTTATGAAGTCTTTCTTCCCTGTGGGTTATAAAGGAAAATGTCGTCTGAATGCTAGAACAGAGGAGTGAAAGGAACGGGAGAAGTCACACTGTCCCACCCCTTCATCAACGGATGGGGACTGAAGCCTGGCGAGATTGATCAGTCCCCACTGCCCACGACTGGGGCAGCTGGGCACTGACCATCACCAGCCTTCCACTCCCGGGCCCTGCCCTGCTGCCTCCCATGGCCTTCCAATGTTGCTTGGCAGATTGAGCAGCCCTCACTGAGGGTATACTCTGTGCAGCTCTGCGCAGAGCCCTGCACCAGTGATAGAGGTATGGTCCCTGCTGTCATCGACCTTACAGAGCTGGCAGTGCCACTCAGCATGCTGTTTTAGGGTGGAAGCTGCAGAGTGCCGCGGGTCCAGACAGCATCGTGTGACTTACGGCTGGAGGCAGTGGGGAGCGCTTCCCACGGGAGGTCTTGAAGGCTCAGTAAGAGTGGTAGGGTAAGGACAGGCAATGTGGCACAACAGATTAAGCTGCTGCCCATATCAGAGTCCTAGTTTCAAGTCTTGGCTACTCTGCTTCCAATCTAGCTTCCTTTTAATGCATCCTGGGAGGCAGCAGATGATGTCTCAAAGTGCTTAGGCCTCTGCCACCCATCTGGGAGACGTGGATGGAGTTCTGGGCTTCTGGCTTTGGCCTTGCCTAGCCCTGGCTGTTAAGGATGTGGGGGAGTTAGCCTGGAGATGGAGGACCCTCCTCCCTTTTCAGGTAGATGTTGGTAAATAAATAAACATGTTAACAAAGAGTTGTAGGGTAGAGATGCAGTGACAGGAGATACTAAGTAGACAGAAAGCCATTTCTTCAGACAGAAAGGCCGTGAGGATTTGTCTGAAATGTGTGGCAGTTATACAGAGTTCAGGTAGGCTGGGACTTGGTAAGAAGTGGCAGAAGATGTGTTTGGACAAGGAAGCCAAGACCAGTTGATGTCATACTAAGGCATTTAGAATTTATCCATAAGCAACATTTTTAAATAGGCACTGAGTGTTGATGTTGAATAGTTGACTTTAATGGCAGTACAGGATGAATTAGAAGAAAGGGAGACAGGAGCCCACCAAGGCCATACAGGGTCATTTCAGCAGCACAGATCAGAACTGGTGAAGGCAGCTGAAGCTTGAGGAAGTGGGACTAGAGAAATATTATGGGTTATGATCAGGAGGGAAGGAGACCGTGCTGTGGCATAGTAGGCTAAGCCTCTGCCTGCTGCTCCTGCATGCCATATGGGCGCCGGTTCCTGTCCCAGCTGCTCCTCTTCCTTTTTTTTTTTTTTTTTTTTTTGACAGGCAGAGTTAGACAGACAGAGAGAGAGAGAGAGACAGAGAGAAAGGTCTTCCTTTTCCGTTGGATCACCCCCCAAATGGCCGCTATGGCCGGCGCACTGCAGCCAGCGCGCTGCGCATATCTGAAGCCAGGAGCCAGGTGCTTCCTCCTGGTCTCCCATGTGAGTGCAGGGCCCAAGCACTTGGGCCATCCTCCAATGCCTTCCCGGGCCTCAGCAGAGAGCTGGACTGCAAGGGAGCAACTGGGACAGAATCCGGTGCCCCAGCCAGGACTAGAACCTGGGGTGCTGGCACCGCAGGCAGAGGATTAGTCTAGTAAGCCGTGGCGCCGGCCCAGCTGCTCCTCTTCTGATCCAGTTCTCTGGTATGGCCTGGAAAAGCAGTAGAGGATGGCCAAAGTGCTTGGGCCCCTGCACCTGCATGGGGGACCCAAAAGAAGCTCCTGGTTCCTGGCTTCAAATTGGCTAAGCTCTGGTCATTGTGACCATTTGGGAAGTGAACCAGCAGATGGAAGACCTTTCTCTCTGTCTCTCCCTCTCTCTGTCTGTAACTCTACCTCTCAAATCAATAAATAAAATCTTAAAAAAATGATCAGTAGGGAAATAGGACTGGCAGGATTTAGTAATTGGTTAGATATAGAGATTGAAGAACAGGACAGCTGGAAATAAGGCAAGTGGAAATCAAGCTCTCAGGGGGAAATTGGGTCTGGAGATACAAAAGTCAGGGTTACCAACACCAGTGTTTAGAAGTTGCTGAGCTTGGGCAGGCGCCACGGCTCACTAAGCTAATCCTTCGCCTTGCGGCGCCAGCACACCGGGTTCTAGTCCCGGTCGGGGCGCCGGATTCTGTCCCGGTTGCCCCTCTTCCAGGCCAGCTTTCTGCTGTGGCCAGGGAGTGCAGTGGAGGATGGCCCAAGTGCTTGGGCCCTGCACCCCATGGGAGACCAGGAGAAGCACCTGGCTCCTGCCATCGGATCAGCGCAGTGCGCCAGCCGTGGCGGCCATTGGAGGGTGAACCAACGGCAAAGGAAGACCTTTCTCTCTGTCTCTCTCTCTCACTGTCCACTCTGCCTGTCAAAAAAATTTAAAAAAAAAAAAGAAATTGCTGAGCTTGTGCAGGGAGAACATGGAGCATTAGAAGAGAAGAGAAGTGGTTGCTGCCTATTTTGCTGCCTATTTTCAAAAAGGACTTATTTATCTGCTTCAGTGTTGGACGAGCTAAGCTTTCCCCATCTTAGTTGGATGAGCTAGGCTTTCTCCAGGCAGCCCAGTGGCTGTGTGCAGGACATACCCTGGCTATGTGTCTTCTGCAGAGGGAGTGACTGGACTTTGGCTGTGAGAGCTGGCTGAGCTGCCACTCACTTCCTAGCCACCAGCACATTTGCTCACAGTAGGCTGGGAATGCCAGCTTTGAAGGAGCATAACCAACTTTCAGGCCTGGACAGACAGCATCACTCTTTCTTCCTAAAATGGGCATGATCTGACTCCATGGAGGAACCCAAGATGGTACTCGAGAGGTTCCCTTTCTTCCCTCCTCATAGTTTCTCATGCCAGAAGCGAAATTTAATCGCAAAAACTTTCAGGTCCATGGTATTTGTGTTTACTGCATTCAAAAAAATCCATGTAGTTATTCCAGAATTATACCAGAGTTTGTTTATGATATTTTACACTCTTCCTGAACATTTAGCTCAGCATCTAAAGGGGTGAAAATATCCTAGATGAAATCGTTCTCTTCATTGGCTTTACTGTTTGTTGAAGGGTGGTGTGGAAAGTGGGTCATTTCGCTTTTTGTCGTTTGCCAACAGGTATGATGTGAGGTGGCAGAAATGGTTAGAGGAGGAGGGAAGTACTTCTTGGAGGGCTACACAGTTATTTGTAGAAAGTGTCATTTGTGTCAAATTATGACGTTAGAAGAAGAAATATATGAGGGTTTTGAGCTGACTGCCAGGTCTGGCCACTGAATTGACATGACACATCAAAATGTCTCAATACATAACAGACAGGCCGTTGAGGCTGGCCTCAGAACTACAAGGCTACTTTGTGAGCCTGGCCACAACTGGCCAGCATGGCTTCAGCTGTGCAGCCCTTGGCCAACTGGGTAAACAGAGTTGCGTCCAATCCATCCCTGCTTCAGACACATTTCACGTAGCCTGCACTCTGAGGGCTGGAGCTGAAACCTAGCAGTGTGTGATGTTCAGTTATCTGTGACTCCAGAGATAAGCAAGGCTCCTTTGAATTTCACTCACTTGCTTTGTCCTTAAAGGGCTCTCTGTCAGTCCTAGTGGTGGTGATTTAGGAAGCTGCAGGCTGCTGGGTAGCTACATACCATAGTGTAGTCCCCTACACTAGGAGGGAACTCTGGGATCACAGAGCCATCTCCCCACCTGGTGCTGCAAACGTGGGCTCAGGATGTCAAGAAGTTTCACTGGTTTTGTCCAACCCATTATGTTGTCGAGACCTCACCCTTTTAAACCTCGAGACAGGGAGATCTGAAGAGACAGGTAATAGAACTTAGGAGAAGAGTAAGAACTCAGATGTCTGGCTTTCATTCCTGACTCGCCATAGCTTAGAAATCCTCTTAGCTGCTCTGACGAGCTACGAGGGGAGGTGGATGCTTATAAAGCACTTTAGCTTCTGTCTGGAATTCCCCTGTGTGAAGCCACAAGTCAAAGCCTAGATAACTTTTGTCTCCTTGGCCCTTGTCACACGTGAGCTGGTATGGCTGGTAGAAATGAAGTGTCAGGGCAACAGGACCCCACAGGGAACATGAGCTGACCATGGATAAGATTCTGGTTTTCCTTCTTGCTCCATTTTGCTTTTCTCTAAACCTGAAGGTGGAATGGATAGGAATGAGGATAAGATGGGAATTAGCTTGTTGCTGTGGAGAATGTTGATCCTTGCCCTCGAGGCAAGAGATACTAATTCCTGATTCCCTTTGTGGAAATGGAGCATTTCTGGAAGCAGTGACTTGACATGTGTAATCTGCAGGGTTAGTAGAAATGAATGCAGAAATGAATCCCAGTGAGTGATCTGATTTCTATCAAGGCAGATTGGAGTATGTGAGTCCACATATATGTATATATACCAGAGAAATCTGTCCATATTTCAAAAAATTTGGAAACTAGAGATACTAAAATTTACTAACAGTATTCTATTGTCCATGTGTAACCACTAACATTTTCCTATACAAATTTATTACTTCACATTATAATCCAACACTATATTCAGTTTTGTATCTTAGCTACTTTAGACATCATTTTATCATAAGCCTTTTCCTATGATCTTTCATTATTTTCATAACCCTCCTTTTTATTGCTGCGTAATGTTTCATAATGTATCTAAGTCATACCATTTTTTCTCTGTACATATATGACAAAC